TGGGGGGGTTTAAAGTGGCTAATGATGCAGCTGTGGTCTGGCTTCTGGTTTGTGGTCGTGCCTCATAGTCAGTGTGGCTTTGGGTTTGTTTTTTGCGTGGATGTTTGGTGGTGACCTCCTGTGTGGTTTTTGTGAGTGTGGGTCTGGTATCATTTTTTGTGTTAGGGAGTCGTTTGTCAATGAGGGCGGGTTTCCAAATGGCTGGTAGGCGGGAGGTATCATCTCGCTTGTTCATGCTGTGTGGGCGTTTTTCTATCTCGATGGCTTCTCTGATTATTCTGTTATTAAAATGTTCACTTTTGGCAATGGTTCTGGTATTTTTAAAGTCAATTTCATGTCCTGTAGCTTTAAGGTGTTGGACCAGGGAAGATGTTGGTTCCTCTTTTTTGATTGAGTTCTTATGTTCTTCAATGCGTGCACTTATTCTTCTGTTGGTTTGTCCGATGTATGTGGTGGGACAAGTGGTGCATGGGATTTCGTATACTCCTTGATTTTCTAATTCAATTTTATCTTTGGGGTTTCTAAGGATGGTGGATATTTTTCTGTTTGTGCAGAATGCTGTTTTGATGTTGTGTTTATGGAGGATCTTACTGATTCTGTCTGTGATGCCTTTTATGTATGGGAGGATGGCTTTGCCGTTTTCTTGTTCTTTGTCTTGGATTTTAGTGGGGGTTTCTTTTTGGATTAGGTTTGTAATCTTATTTCTATGGAATCCATTGGATGTTAGTACATTGGTGAGAGTGTGTAGTTCGGGTTTTAGGTGTTGTTCGTCAGCTAAGCGTTTTTCGTTCTGGAGATGAGTGTCTTGGCTACAGAGTTGATCTGTGCTGGGTGGTGGTGTGAGAGAGCGTGCAGATAGCGGTTTGTGTGTGTTTTCTTCTGGTAGATGGTGTGTCCTAGGGAGCCATTGGATTTCTTGTAGACTAAGACATCCAGGAAGGGAAGTTGGTTGTTAGCTTCTGTTTCCATGGTGAACTGTATTTTGGGGTGTAGGCTGTTGAGGTGTGTGAGGAAGTTGTCCAGTTTTTCTTTCCCATGTGGCCAGATTATGAAGGTGTCGTCTACGTATCTGAGCCAGAGTTTGGGTTTGTGATCCGATTTTTCTAGAGCTTGGGTTTCAAAGTGTTCCATGTAGAGGTTGGCAATGACAGGTGAGAGGGGTGATCCCATGGGTGCTCCTTCTGTTTGTTTGTATTTTTGTCCATTATAGATGAAGTATGTGTTGGATAGGCAGTGGTTGGTCAGATCTAAGATGTGTTTGGGGGGGTTATATTTGTTTTGGATAGCTGTCAAGGCTTCTTTGATAGGCACTTGTGTGAAGAGGGATATGACATCGAAGCTCACTAGTAGGTCGCTGGGCTGTAAGTTTTGTTTCTTTATGATCTCTATAAACTGGAATGAGTTTTTTACGTGTGAGGTAATGGATTCTGCATAGGGCTGTAGTTGTTTGGCGAGAAATTTGGCTAGGTTTTGTAGAGGTGAGCCTATGGAGCTGACTATAGGTCTGAGTGGGGTTCCTTCCTTGTGTATCTTGGGGAGACCATAGAGTTTGGGGCATCTGGATGATTTCTCTCTGGGAATGATTCTTTGCTGGATCTCTTCGCTAATGGGGGAGGCTTTTATTTTGGATCTGGTGGTTTTTTCCAGGTAGGTGGTGGGATCTGTATTTAGGGGTTTGTATGTGGAGTCTTGGAGTAGGTTGGTTAATTTGGTTTGGTAGTCAGATGTGTTCATAACCACCGTGGCGTTGCCCTTGTCTGCTGGTAGGATTATTATGCTGGTGTCTTCTTTAAGGTTACGTAGTGCTGTCTGTTCCTCTTTGGGTAAGTTGCTTTTGGGTGGCTTGCTGGTGCAGAGGATGTTGGTGATTTCGAGTCTGATTCTGTTGGCGTCGTCGGGGTTGATTTTAGTCAGGCTGGTTTCAACTCCACATATAATGGTTTCAGTGGGGATGTGTTTGGGAGCGACTGCAAAGTTGAATCCTTTGGAAAGGACATTGGTTTCGGCTTTGGTGAGGATCCTATCTGAGATGTTATGCACTGTCTGCTTCATGTGTGGCTGTGAGGGAGGAGGGGTTTGTTTCTGGTGTTCTTGTAGTCTTCGGAGTTTGTTGGTGTGTGTATCTGTCTTGAGGGTGGTCTGTGTTTCGGCTCTCCAGACGGCAAGTTGTTTGGATTTGTCCCAAAGGATTTGTCCCAAACAAGATCCACCCCGCACTTTGGGACAAATCCAAACAACTTGCCGTCTGGAGAGCCGAAACACAGACCACCCTCCAGACAGATACACACACCAACAAACTCCGAAGACTACAAGAACGCCAGAAACAAACCCCTCCTCCCTCACAGCCACACATGAAGCAGACAGTGCATAACATCTCAGATAGGATCCTCACCAACGCCGAAACCAATGTCCTTTCCAAAGGATTCAACTTTGCAGTCGCTCCCAAACACATCCCCACTGAAACCATTATATGTGGAGTTGAAACCAGCCTGACTAAAATCAACCCCGACGATGCCAACAGAATCAGACTCGAAATCACCAACATCCTCTGCACCAGCAAGCCACCCAAAAGCAACTTACCCAAAGAGGAACAGACAGCACTACGTATCCTTAAAGAAGACACCAGCATAATAATCCTACCAGCAGACAAGGGCAACGCCACGGTGGTTATGAACACATCTGACTACCAAACCAAATTAACCAACCTACTCCAAGACTACAACAAACCCCTACAGATCCCACCACCTACCTGGAAAAAACCACCAGATCCAAATAAAAGCCTCCCCCATTAGCGAAGAGATCCAGCAAAGAATCATTCCCAGAGAGAAATCATCCAGATGCCCCAAACTCTATGGTCTCCCCAAGATACACAAGGAAGGAACCCCACTCAGACCTATAGTCAGCTCCATAGGCTCACCTCTACAAACCTAGCCAAATTTCTCGCCAAACAACTACAGCCCTATGCAGAATCCATTACCTCACACGTAAAAAAACTCATTCCAGTTTATAGAGATCATAAAGAAACAAAACTTACAGCCCAGCGACCTACTAGTGAGCTTCGATGTCATATCCCTCTTCACCAAGTGCCTATCAAAGAAGCCTTGACAGCTATCCAAAACAAATATAACCCCCCCCCCCCAAACACATCTTAGATCTGACCAACCACTGCCTATCCAACACATACTTCATCTATAATGGACAAAAATACAAACAAACAGAAGGAGCACCCATGGGATCACCCCTCTCACCTGTCATTGCAAACCTCTACATGGAACACTTTGAAACCCAAGCTCTAGAAAAATCGGATCACAAACCCAAACTCTGGCTCAGATACGTAGACGACACCTTCATAATCTGGCCACATGGGAAAGAAAAACTGGACAACTTCCTCACACACCTCAACAGCCTACACCCCAAAATACAGTTCACCATGGAAACAGAAGCTAACAACCAACTTCCCTTCCTGGATGTCTTAGTCTACAAGAAATCCAATGGCTCCCTAGGACACACCATCTACCAGAAGAAAACACACACAAACCGCTATCTGCACGCTCTCTCACACCACCACCCAGCACAGATCAACTCTGTAGCCAAGACACTCATCTCCAGAACAAAACGCTTAGCTGACGAACAACACCTAAAACCCGAACTACACACTCTCACCAATGTACTAACATCCAATGGATTCCATAGAAATAAGATTACAAACCTAATCCAAAAAGAAACCCCCACTAAAATCCAAGACAAAGAACAAGAAAACGGCAAAGCCATCCTCCCATACATAAAAGGCACCACAGACAGAATCAGTAAGATCCTCCATAAACACAACATCAAAACAGCATTCTGCACAAACAGAAAAATATCCACCATCCTTAGAAACCCCAAAGATAAATTGAATTAGAAAATCAAGGAGTATACGAAATCCCATGCACCACTTGTCCCACCACATACATCGGACAAACCAACAGAAGAATAAGTGCACGCATTGAAGAACATAAGAACTCAATCAAAAAAGAGGAACCAACATCTTCCCTGGTCCAACACCTTAAAGCTACAGGACATGAAATTGACTTTAAAAATACCAGAACCATTGCCAAAAGTGAACATTTTAATAACAGAATAATCAGAGAAGCCATCGAGATAGAAAAACGCCACACAGCATGAACAAGCGAGATGATACCTCCCGCCTACCAGCCATTTGGAAACCCGCCCTTATTGACAAACGACTCCCTAACACAAAAAATGATACCAGACCCACACTCACAAAAACCACACAGGAGGTCACCACCAAACATCCACGCAAAAAACAAACCCAAAGCCACACTGACTATGAGGCACGACCACAAACCAGAAGCCAGATCACAGCTGCATCATTAGCCACTTTAAACCCCCCCAATCCATACATGAAGCAAACTGACACCCTCCATGAAGAGGAAGCACGACCACGAACGCGAAGCCAAGGAATGGCAGGGCAGCCCAAAATCTTGAATCCCTCTGCAACTCAGACTAACCTGAGCACAACCAAACAGAACACTCCCCCAGCCAATCAGAGCACAGCCAACCCCCCAGCCAATCAGAGCACAGCCAACCCCCCAGCCAATCCTAACCAATCAGAACACACCTCCACCCAATCAGAACACAGCCAAGCTCCCACCCAATCAGTTCATACCCCCACTGGCAGTTAAAAGGAAGAAACAGCTAAGACCACACATTGCTGCTCGAGGCACGAAGCTGAAAGCACCAGCCTGAAGATGACGAATGGGACTTCGTCGAAACGTCGCCAAGACACTTCCAATTTTACGTGGGAGAAAACCCGAACAACCAAAGACCTACATACAAATAAAACCTCAGAAAACATATATATATATATATATATATATATATATATATATATATATATATATATATATATATATACACACACATACACGCGTATATAGTCTTTCCTGAAAAAACACTTTTCTTTGGTTCTCTAAACTTAATTGCATTGACGGTTTCAGGTATTCCAAAGTTAATTACTTCTGATATGATTAAAAGAGGAGCCGCAGTGATTGATATTGGTATCAACCATATTCATGATCCTGTCACTGGAAAGACAAAATTAGTAGGAGATGTAGACTTTGAAGGTAAGCCAAATTCCTATGTTCTTAGAAGTGCAAAGTTTTTTTTATTAAAGAAATAAATCATCAGTCTTGAGTTTTATTTCCAGAGGAAGTAATTAAGTAAATGCTTAACACTAAATATAATTAAAATTTAGTTGAAAGTTCCATTCCCTCCCCCATTTTTCATAAGTCTAAGCCAGGAGTGGGGAACTTTGGCCCTTTTATGACTTGTGGACTTCAACCCCCAGAATTCCTGAGCCATCCATGCTGGCTCAGGAATTCTGGGAGCTGAAGTTCACAAGTCATAAAAAGGCCATAGTTCCCCACCCCTGGCCTAAGCCTTCAACCTGTGAATAAAGATTCCTCTGCCTGTTTATGGATATATATTTTAGGATTTATTTTGGAATCAAGACATTACTTGTATAAATTTTTTTATCTCCATTACTTATTTTTAATTACATAGATTAATAGTTCTTAATTTAGCAAACTTCTCTTACATAATCTGATATTTAATGATATACAGGTAGTCCTTGACTTAAAACCATAACTGAGCCCAAAATTTCTGCTGTTAAGTGAGACATTTGTTAAGTGAATTTTGCCCCATTTTACAATCTTTCTTGCCATAGTTGTTAAGTGAATGATTGCAGTTGTTAAGTTAGTAACCTGGTTGTTAAGTGAATCTGGCTTTTCCATTGACTTTGATCCCAGGACATTGCAATCATCGTAAATATGCTGCCAAGCATCTGACTTATGGTCATAAATATGAAAAATGTTCATAAGTCACTTTTTTTCAGTGCTGTTGTAACTTTGAACGGTCACTAAATGAACTGTTGTCATTTTATTACCTGTATAAACTTTGTGATGTCCTAGGTGCCCAGAATAGCTTTAACAGTGAGACGGGTGGCATATACGTTAATAAATAAATAATATAATTTATGGTTTACGTATACAGTAGATAAACATGGTATACTCAAAATCTGTAGCTATGAAAATAAAATATATAATTGAAAGTCATTTCTATTAAATGTATTATTTGGGTAAAATAATCCTGAAGTTATTAGTACAGAATGTTAAAAGTGCCTTATGTTTGCAAAATCTTTAGTTTGAAAAACAAAATAATGATCTTATTAGGCTATTTTTGTGTAATTTTCTGGAATGATAAATCCAATTTGGGTCTTTAAGAACTTCTACTGTAAGAATGAAGATCTTCCTGTGCAGAGGATTCTGTTTATTAAGGATGAATTTCACTTCTTTTGGAAGTTGAAAGCACTGAAATTTCTGAGAGCATTACAAAATGATAATATTACAGGGTAAAATTCTTCAATAGAACAAGGCAGCTTTTCAGAACCCTTGAGACATATGATCTGAAATTAAATATGAAGCACCCATGCTAAGTTGTATTTAGAGAAAAGAGATAATACAATCTAAAATAGATGCTTGAGTACCTAAACATGGTAGGTGGCCCTACTTCCCTGGTGTCAGAGAAATGTCTAATTTGGATAATAGTTTAATTTGTTAAAATGTTATCTGTCAGATCAATTTCTAATGATATAATTAAAAATACAGATTGGAGGTCTTCCAAGTCCCCCCCCCCCAACCCTTATGAATGTAGGTAAGGAAGCCATAAGTTTGGGGGAAACTATGTTTACTGAAGGAAGAAGAACTCAAGTGAAAGAAACTATATTTTAAAAATTGTGTCATTCCATCAATTATGTTGGTGCCTAATAAAATGGCAATGGCTGTATTTTTATCCTATACCACATCAACACTACTACATTTGTTTGGTTATCATTTTGACTGAGCAATGTTTTTGAAATTTAATGAAAATTCCTCATTTTCTGCAATTTTTAAAATAAGCAAATATAGCTTTGGTTTCAGGAAGCACAGCAAATAATATATTGTTCCCAGTGTCATTAAAGGAACAGAAGCTGCAATTTATTTCAGATGTTATTATAATTAAAAAAAAATTCAACCAATTCCTGGGCATGTGAATAACAAATAAGCCTTGGCCCCTTTTTTAATACAAAAGCAGTAGGAATCACCATGTTGCTTATTTGACCCCACTGTGGATGCTTCTGGAAACAAATTATACACGATGATGTGAATGTAAATCTGCATACATTAACCCCGAGATTAATAAATACCTATTCAGCTGGTGGAAGAAACCATCACATTCTGATAAAGGAACATTGATGAGTCTGAATCAGGTTTGAGTTGACTTATAATTTAATATAATTTAAATTGGTTTCTATTAATTCCTATTTTATTTGAGACTATTTTTAACAAGAATCATATGCTGGAACTGGAAAACTATTTTGTGTTTTGGATTTATGTGTCTTTTTTAAAAAAAAAAAAAAAACAAACCCTGCTATTCAGCTAGATCTAGATGGTCCCAAAAAGAAATATTGTTGTCCATTGTTGGGGGTGGATTGCATTTGAATACACATATTTTAATACATGTTTTTTACACAGTTTTTCCTTTTTTTAAAAAAAAAATCAGAAGTAAAGAAGAAAGCTAGTTTTATCACCCCTGTCCCAGGAGGTGTGGGACCAATGACAGTTGCCATGCTCCTGAAGAATACCTTAATTGCTGCAAAGAAATTGATTTACTAAAATGTATAAATTGAAGTAATTCTATAGTTATATAAACATTTATTTTTGTTACAAATGTATTTATTAAAATGTGTTTATGTTAGATTACTGAGAAAAGATTTATTTCTAAATCTGTTACAAAAATGTATACTTGCAAAGGACTAACTTAACTGATTTAAGGTTGAAATTGATGTAACTTCTATGCATTAATCCCTGTCTAAATGTTTGGTTCCTGTTGGAACTGTGCTGTTTTTCAAACATATATTAACAACTGGATTTGAAATGAAACCAAAACCTGGGTCTGAGTTCAGATGTAAACTGAAGTGCAACTCCAGCAGACAATAATAAGGGCTCACAATCCATTATGCACACTGATGTGGGGACACTCAAATGAATGCTAAGAACTATGAAAGATGCTTAACAGACATAAATCAGGAGTTTATCTCTGGAAACATGGTTTTGTTGATAAATATATTATGTTCACAATTGCAAAAAAATAAATAGTGTACAAATTTTAAGATGCTTTTGATCTAATTCTCAGATGCATATTTATATAAAAAGGAAAATGTTATCCAAAAGTAATTATTGTGTTTCCAAGCAGTTTTCATCTACCTCTAGTTGATTTTTTTTACAGCTGGGAACTAGACATTGACCAAGTAAGTTAACCCTTCTTAACTCACAGAAGCATAATTCCCTTAACAGAGCAAATAAGGTACAATAAGGTTTGATTAGCATTGTAGTCAGAATGAATATTTAAATAAGATACCTATGATTGTTGCAAATAAAGCATGTTATCAAATATTTGATCATATGTTAGGAACCCAATTAGCCACTTAGCTACACTTTTTTATTCAGTTGCCAAAATAATGCTAAATTGGTTTCCTTTACATAAAAAATATAAACAAATATATTTAAAATCCTCCCCCTTTTGTTAGTTATCACAGTGATGCATTTATTGTCATTTATTCCTTTGTCATTGTTTACTTTATTGTTCTATTATTTTACTGCTGTTTACATGCTTTTCATTTTTCTTTTTTATTATTATTATTATAAGCTACCTGGAGTAGCCCCACAGCAGGATAATGGCAAATAAATAAAATAAAATAAAATAAATGTCATTAGAATTTTTAAGAATTGAGATGGAGGCTCTTAGTAAAGCTTATTTATCATTTTCCTGCATTTAGACAGATTTGGAATATTGAAAAAAATACTGTAAATAATGATAGGCAATATGCCAGATTATAAATTCCAAATTTGGAATATAATAATTTTATGCAATAATATTGTAACTTTTTTGTTAATTATAACATTTTGTTATAAAATAAAATACAAAATAAGCAGATAGTAGGACCCAATGGGGAAGGAAAAGGGAAAAAGAAGTGAGGGGAAAGAGGGGAGAAAGAAAAAAAGAGCATTGACTTCCGACTTCCTCTGTTGCAGTAGAATAAAGCATTAACACTGAACCTCCACTTTTTACTTTTCGATAGTAGTATAAACTAGCCATTTCTATAACAACAAATCAATCTAATCAGTAAATCCCAAGATCAAAGTTTTCATTTTTTCCACTTTTCCACTCCATGTGGAAACAAAAATACTTACATTCTTTTCTTTAATTAAAACAGTCAATTTAGCTATCTCTGCCAATTCCATCAACTTCTGTAGCCATTCATCCATAGTAGGGATCAAAATGTCCTTCCATTTTTGTGCATATAATAGTCATGCTGCCATTGACATATATAAAATCAGAGTTCCCCAAAAACTTTTCTACGTCTTTTTTGATTATGTCCAGAAGAAAAAATTCTGGTTTCATCTTTATCTTTATCTTTCTATAATAGGATATAAATCCTACTCCAATATTTCTTTTGCTTTATCTCATGGTAAAAGGTCCCTTCTTTACATTTACATTTCCAACATTCATTTGAAATATCTTTAAGTTATTCTAGATAACTTATCTGGTGTTAAATACCAGTGGTACATCATCTTATAAAATTTTTCTTTTAAATTATAATTCAATATAAATTTTAAGCTTTTCCTCCACATGTTCTCCCATTGTTCCAGCATCACATTATATCCAAAATTCCTTACTCACTGAATCATACAATGTTTTACATGTTCACTTTCCAAGTTCAATTTCAATAACATTTTATCAACCTTAGCAATATTACTTTCATCACTACCACATAATAAAACTTCCAGTTCATTTTTAACAAAGTTAAACCCATAACTCTTTTCACCTAATTTAAATCTTTCAATTGTTGACATACAAACCAATGACAAACATAGCCCTCTGACTCTAACTCTTCCCTCGACTTGAGGGTAGGGTTCCCAGAATTGAAAAGTATCATTTTATCATAAGTCCATCAGTCTGGCTTTGTGACCATTTCTTTTCTTAAAAAAGCTTCCTGTGGGGATATCCAAAGAGGCAACGTCGTAGAAAATCTTGTTTTGTATTGGTTCCAAAATCTTAGTATGGCACGTCTAACAAAGTGATTGTTAAAATCCATATTGTCTTTAGCTTTATCATACCATAGGTAACTGTGCCATCCAAACCTTAATTCATGACCTTCCAAACTAAATAGTCTCTTGTTCCAAATGTTTTCCACTCTTTTAGCCAAGCCAGACATCAAAGTACAATTTCAGATCCGGTAGGCCCAAACCCCCTCTTTCCTTAGCATCTTGCAATAATTTGTATCTAATTCTTGGTTTTTTCTCCTTGCCATATGAATTTGGAAAGATCCCTTTCCCATTGTTTAAATGGAGCATGAGTTGCAAGTATAGGTAATGCCTGGAACAAAAAAAAACATCTTTGGTAAAACATTCATCTTAATTACAGAGATTCTACCCAATAGCAATAAATGTAATTTGTCCCATCTTTGTAAGTCCTTTTTAATGTCATTCCGAAGAGGAATATAGTTATTTTGAAACAATTTTATATTTGTATTTGTCAGCAAATATTGTAGTCATGTATTCTTGTAATATTTTAGTCTTGAACTTGTTTTAAAATAAGAATGAAGTTATTTTTTTAGATATAAAGTATTTGGACTTTGAAGCATATTTTCATAGTTTAACCATTGTTCCTTAGGAGAAAAACTTTCCCATATGGAGGAAATCAATAATGGTATTTCGGCTACCATGGATGAAGCTGTCTCACTACAACAGGCTAAAACTGGGGGAAAAAACACTCTGATTAAACCCGACTTCTGATTAGCTGCTATAATTTTCTTGGCATTATGGAAGTGGGTTTTTTCACTGATTTCTTTGTAGGCTGTCTTTGGAATTCCCAAATAGTCCACATCCCAACTACCCTGTGCTAAACCTACTTAGCTTCCAGGAATACCAAGTTTAAATATGTACTATAAATTTGTTGAGGCAACAGATAATTTTCAAGATGGAAATAGAAATATTTATTTCCTAATTCACCACCCTTTCAGAAAACTATCAAAACTCTCAGAATCATTCCTGCAGCTACAAAGTAGCACAGAATCAAAATTTGATTCAGCACATTTGTGCAGTATGTTTTAAATGACCAAGGAGATCCCATTTAGATGCTATCAGCATCTGAACTAATATTTACATGTTATGAGAGTGAACATTGTTTGTTTGATTGGCAGGTACCGCATATTATTTCAGCATGTACTTATGTTTCAATTATATAAACTGCAGAATAAATGAAGTATCTAAATAGTGGATGGCATAGGGAAGACTAGAAATATATAAATGTCATACCAATAAAATTGGCCTCCAGCCATATAATTGAAAGTTATGCTCATTTCCCAACATTTCAATAATTGTTTTTACAGATACAATTATGAAGTTGTGAATTGTAGCAATATGAATTACAAACATGGCTCCAATACATTATATGATATATTTATATAAATTTGTCTCCTGCTGAATTCTTTGTCATAATCCATACCTAGAGAGACTTTATTAATATGGGACTTTTATTATAATTATCCCACTGTGTTTTCTTTCATATTTCCATGAGATCCTTAAACACAGACTTCTCATTCTTCATGTATTTCTATCTAAACCATTCACATTTGGTTTACAATGCCACTGTTTTCATAGAAATCAACTTTCATTATTAGAATTGCGTCCTTAGAGGCACAACAATACCCAGAGTTAAGAGGAATTTTAAAAAAAATATCTGACCATATTTCAAGATAATAGATTTCTTTTTTAAAAATTGGTCTAGTTATGCTGAAATGCCAAGACTAGTGTAAAATGAGCAGTTCTTTTCATTGGTAAGTAGTATTGACATCTTATTGATACAAACAGCCAAAATAGAAACAGTTAAAAAAGAGGGAATAATATACAATTTGGTTCTTGGTATCGCTCTGGGAATTTTATTGCCTATTTACTAAAATATAGGTTTGCTCTCCTTTTATTATTTTAAAAAATGATTAAAGATTGAAATATTGTGATTTCACTTAAAGATTAATTTAGGCTTTAGGTAACAAACTTATGTTTGGAAAATTAATATTGGAATAATTTTTCTCAATAATTTTATGTATTACTATAATACAACAAAAATATATATTAATACTTATTTTTCTATGTATCAATACTGTTGATTCAAATTATCTCTTTATTACAGTGATAGAAGAGTTTAATATAATTGATTAAATTCATTAAATTTCAAAATCCCTTTGATTGACTTTCATAAAATAGCATGTAGATTCCTACAATAGTATAGATCTTTAAAGCTGTATTTACAATACAATCTTACATCCACCTATAAGGATTTTTGGTAAGTAATCTTATTTAATTAAAAGAAAATCAGAGTTGAGGGGGAAATGAATTGAAAGAAGATCCAATAAAAAAGTCACACTTGATCTATGATTACCAATTAATCTTGATTTTAAGTATTATTAGATATACACTGTAAATGCCTGCAAATTATTGACAAAAGAAAATGGAATATATATATATATAAATGACAAGCAGTGGTCATGTTAAATGTCTTAAGCAGAATCTATATGGAAAGCTATGAAGAAATGTAATTAAATAGGGATACCATATCTGACCTGAAAAGATCCAGATAGTCAGTAAATAGCAGCAAAGAGGTACACAAAACCACACCTAATGGTTATTCTTATTTTTGCAACCCAGATATGGTCTCTCTAATGTTGGAAGGTTTGCGATACAGAAAATGAGATCATTCAGAGATACCGAATGTGGTATTGATAATGCCGAGACACATATACAGTTTTAAAGCTGGTTTTGCTGGGGACATGCTGTTGAGAAATGAGTTAACACATAACCTACTTGATTGGAGGAAAAAAAAAAAAAGTCCAGTTGTCTACTTGATGGCCACTAGATGGAAGCAAATAATTGTTATTCTGTTTTTTTTCTTCCAATCAGGTTTTATTTGTACTCCTGATGACATGGTCTTGCAGTTTTCTTGGCAAGATTTCAGATGTAGTTTGCACTCACCTTCTTCCCAAGGCTGAAACAGAATGAAGAATGACTAACCCAACTGACTTTGTGCCTAGTGGCACTAGAACTCATGATCTCACATTTTCTAGCCTGGTGCTTTAACCACTACACAAATTGGTTCTACAACAAGGACTTAGTGTATCTTTTTGGTGCCCTCTAGCAGTCATACATATTTTAGCAATCCAAATGTGCTATACCCAATAATGGATGAAATTACCTTTAGGTTTATGGGCAGGTGATTCATAACACCATTAAAAGGATATTCGCCTGGTTCTAAACAGTGGCTATTTGATCCAGATTTGTGCAACTGATAACTGTAATCTATCAGCTATTTATATATTTCCTCAGCCCTAGCTGAGTCATTCATTACCACAATTTCCATCAGCAAATAGTACTAGATACTTATTGCTGTGCTGGGCTTTCCCTGGCTAAGTCAGTCCTTTAAATAAAGATCTGGACTCTAATAAACAGAATGTAACACTAGTGACTGTTTGGCCAGTACAACCAACATCAATGGTACTAGATATGATGGTACCTAGTAGCCTCATTCTTACAATATTATTGTTGTTAAAGTTTTGCATAGCTTAACCAAGCATGTTATGTGAAAACAGTGTCTTAGATAAGGGTATGAAATGAATGCTACTGTCAAAACTCTCAATCTTGGCAACTTTAGATTTTATGGACTTCAACTCCCAGAACTCTCCAGCCAATAGGATTTGATTCCCATAATTCCCCAGACTTGAAGTCCATACATCTTAAGATTGTCAAGATTGAGAAACCTTACTAGAGCATTAACTATATTTCTGGTTCTTGCCAATGAAAAAAAAATCCTAGAAAGACCATGCTTATCTAGGAATGCTATATCTACCCTCTCTTTGCCCCTGTCCCACAGCTGTACTGGGTGTGTGCAAAAAGGAAGGAAAGTATCTGAATTTTGATCACACGATTCCTCTCTCTCCTCTCCCTCTCCCTCTCCCTCTCCCTCTCATTAGGTTGTACTGTAGGTCATTTCATATTTTCATTGCTGTTAATTTGGTACAATAATAGTTGTGTGATTCCCAGAAAACTCAATATAGACCAGTTGACAAGTCACCTGGTTTCAAAATGATATTTCTTCCATTAAAGTTTTCTTTATTTTCAGAAAATTTTTCTTCCATTTTCTTGTGATTACAGACTTTGAAATCAGTGTTATATTCTTGCCAATACCTTATATATGCAGAATAATTTCTGTTGGCTAGAATGCCATTCCACTCATACTGTATTGGCTTCTGGAGGTGTAGAAAGAACACACCATTCCACATAGTTTATTATGAAGAAACACCACCATGAAGCTCTTGGGTTTAATTAGTTAATGAATATAGAATGACTAATTACCAAAATAACATGAATATTTGTTGACATCAGTGTTTTACAAATGAGCGGCTCATTGAATTCTTCTCATCCACCTTAAATTACTTTTGCAGAGTATACTGCTGAAAGATCTTATTATACATTATGAGACCTTTGATTTTGTAGTAGAGTATTCTGTACTCTGATTGGCAGAGGCTCCAATAGAGCACAGAATACTCTAGCCCTCAATTTGCCACCACAACTGAGCCCCAAATTTCTGTTGCTAAGTGAGACAGTATTAAGTGAATGTTGCTCCATTTCAGGACCTTTCTTGCCAGGAGTGCTAAGTGAATCACTGCAGTTAAGTTAATAACACGTTAAGTGAATTTGGCTTCCCCATTGACTTTGCTTGTCAGAAAGTCGCAAAAGGTGATCACATGACCCTTGGATGCTGCAACAGCCATAAATATGAATCAGTTGCCAAACATCTGAATTTTTATCATGTGACCATCAGGACTGTGCTACGGTCATCAATGTGATAAATGGTCATAAGTCACTTTTTTCAATATCATTGTAACTTCAAACGGTCACCAAATGAACTTTTGTAAGTCAAGGAGTATCTCTACAGCATGCAGAATACTCAGCTTTCATGCGTGCATGCTAAATACTTTCCCAACTCAAGAATGCAAAATCTCTGAAATTGTATAAATGATTTCAGGGAAGAAAAAATGGATCAGTCAAACAGCCTACAACATATTTATAGTGAGGAGGAATGCATTCATTATATATAGGTGCCTCAAAGCAAAGTTCTGGCCAAAATCAAGACATTTCAGATTAGCTTTTCTACCTGGTAAAAGGGAGGAGGAATGAAACAAGCCATAAGGTAAAGCAAGAATTTTGCTCTAGGAAAAAAAAGTTGTATTGTTAAGAAAAGCACCTGAGTGGAAAATCGATTTGTCTCATTGTGAAGATGCATGGCCACTCATCAACATCATATGGTAAAAGTACAAGAGGGGAATAAACATGATTTAACATCCATACAGTACAGCAGCTTCCTAACCAGCCAGCAAGCAGATCAAACAGAAAGGGCATATTCCATGGATTTTTTTATCTTCTACTGTTACAAGCCTCAGGACATGGATTCTGGATATCTGAAGGCCCAAGTGTGCAGCATCATGACAAGGAGAGAATAAAGATGTAAAACATGGTTTCTGGTATTCCTTCCAAAGTCTCAATAATACTGCTGTCCATGAGATTGGGAAAGAAAAAGGAGGAGGGCTTGAAAATTGAGTAGTGGGCATTTGACCCACTGCTCAGTTGTCTTTTTCATCAGAACATATTAAGGATTTTTTTTCCTGATCCTTTTCTCTGTAGTCCCCAGCTTGTGCTGGCCATTTTTAGAAATTGAACTATACGTTGCCAACCTCTCTTCCAGCAACAAAACTGGTTCCATTTCTGGTTTTGATAATTTATCCTGCTGGTGGGCAGTCCTAAGCTTTTGCTATCAGAATAGCAGATGTCAGTATAGCGGTCAAATGCCTGTTAACTGAATTGGTGTCAAAAGGGGGTTTCATCAGTGATCCATTCAAGGTTCACTTTGTGAATCTGGTCATCCAATAGGTAGATTGATAGGTAGGTAGCCCTGGGCCCAGAACTAAAATGTCATCAAGTGCCATCTAATGATTAAAGTGCTGGCTAGAAACAGGGAAAATCTGAGTTCTAGTCCCGCCTTAGGCATGAAAAACCAGCTTGGTAACCCAATTTACCTCGCAAGATGGTTGTGGAGAGAATAGGAGAGAAGAGTATTAGGCATGCTCGTCTCCTTGAATTATTTATTAAATGACAAAGGTGGGACAAAAATTAAATATAAATCTACTATTTTACTTCCAAGATTTGATTTGATTGGGAACAGTGAAAACAATCATATGCTTGCTTAGTTAGGAGTAATGCTTCTTACTTTAGCAATGGTTGCAATTCCTTATATGGGTAAATTGTATCCTGCCCTTCTTGCATCATTGAAATCCCTTATCACCTTGCTGGGCCTTCCTAGGAGTAGCAGGAATTGAAGGCCAAACTAGACATGATGCAACGTGCCTGACATAGAGTACTCAGGTCTGAGGAGTTTATTATTTTCATTAAAAGGCCTATCCCCGAGGATTTTTCAGGGGGGAGAGGTAGACTGAACGCACATTGCTGGGTAGAGAGTTTGGTAATTGAAGACATTTCACCAGTACAACAGCATAAAAGATGTTCTCTGTTCTCTGATAGAGTTCAGAAAGATAGGTTACCAGCATCAACATCTCACAATATCCTAGGATTAGTCAGCAAATTTGCTAATAGATGCTAATAGATACCTACTAAGGCTTCATCCTTGAGCTATTCTTGCTTTACCTTTTCCCTTCATTTTGTGACAACACCCCCTTTCACTCTTCTTTATGCCTTCTTTGGCTCAATCTGTCCTTTGTGAGCCTCTGATAGTTTGCATCAGAATGTTCCTGTGTATAATTTACTAAGAGGCTTTGAAAGCCTATGGAAATCTTGCTTTTTGGAGCTAGATGACTAATAGGAGAGACTGAACAAGTTGGGAAGAGGATGTATTTAGACCAAAAGATAAGAAACAGAGAGCACTAAAATTATAACTGTTGATAACAGAAGTCATAAATTTCAGTTTATTACATTCTAAACTAATAAACTAGGCTGAGTACTAGAACAGTAATTAGTGTAATTCTGAAAACTTTGCTAAAGCATGTGAACTGCTGCTTCAGTTGGCTAGACAACCGAAGTATATTAAGGAGACATTTGGAGTGCTAGCAATGATTATGGGATTGGATTTAAACTTCAAGACATAAACAGATGTGTAGAATATAAGCTTTCTAAATTATGTTAACTCTGGCTGGCAATGAAAATATCTCTAGATGAATTCAAATGAATTTACTTATTTATTTATTTTACTTATATATCCTGCCTATATTATTTTTACAAATAACATATTCAACTGACCTTCCTCCTATTTTCCCCACAACAATCCTGTGGGTTGGGTTGAGTGATTGGCCCAAGTCACCCAGCTGAATAATATAGTAAACTTTCAGTTCAGCATCATTTTCAAGCAATTTTCAGCAACAAATAATTAGTCAAATCTAATTAAACATATCCCCATTCTGCTCATTCTTCTAAACAATAAATTTAAATATATAGCCAGTTCCCAACTGGCTTTCAATTTGGTTTTGAATTGATTTTATGCAAAGCTGGTTAGGTGATCAGTGAACTTTTGGTAGATGGATGTTTGTTTGTTTTTCCATAAATGCAGCATTACCTGATCCTACAGAGGAATGAAGCAACTGTGACTTAATTTAACTTCAACTCAAAAAAAAAAAAAAAAGCATAAGTACTTTCCTCCAAACTGGGAAGTGGTTCAGCTTTTTTCAAGCCAAAACCAAATAATTCTTATTTTGTGAGAAGCCTCAAATCTCTTCCCTCCCACTGATTAAGCCATCTCATCCTTCAGCTCTTGACTACCTCTTTAAATCGTTCACCATTGGCCAAGTTAGTGGGTATTCAGTGATGGTCAATGAGGGAGGGCAGCCTTCAAATCCAAATTACCTAACTAACTGTAGTTTGGATTGGAGCCTGCTTAATAAAACTATCAGAGGAATATGAATATTCCTTTATTTTATTTAATATTTGAGAGCCAGTTTGGCCCAGTGGTTAAGACACGAGGCTAGAAACCAGGAGACTGTGAGTTTGAGTTGTACTCCCACTTTAGCATGAAAGCTGGTTGGGGGACTTTAGGCCAGTCACTCTCAGCCCAATCTGTTGTGTAGTGGGAACAACGAGGCATTGAAGACATGGAGTAGAATATTAAGCTCTTTATTAGGTTCTCACAGAAGCAAGCTCTAGCAGCTGTCTGACTTATATTTATACGTACTTATTCCCGCCTAAAACAGGTTTAAAGTTATACAGACACAGTCTATCTTTCAAATAAAGCAATCAGTTAACCGTTTCTTTATAACAGACCCTTTGAATTGCTTAATATATAACACCCCTTCCCCTTGCAGCTTGACTTTTAGTCTAAGCTTTTGTTTTAGGGGGCGACGGGCTCCAGTTCTGAGGATGCTCCTTCTTCCGGAGCAAAACCCTACTCTATTTTGCCCCGGGGCCCCATTACCTCTTCTGGGGGATTCTTCGCATGGTGATTCCCTCTGGTGACCTTTACAGATGGTAGCAATGTGGCCTTGTTTGCCACATGCTCGGCAGACAGCTGCGTGGAACCGGCATTCTGAGGGCTGGTGTCGTCTACCACAGCGAAGACAGCTAGGAAGGGAACTGCCTTGTCAAGCAGCCGCTGCCTTCTTTCTGGGATCTTCTGCACCCGGTCGATCTCAATGTCAATGTCTGGGTCTTTAGTTCTCTCTGATTCTTCGTGATGCACAGCCATCTGGCTGGGGAAATTCTTTGAGGAATGTAAAGCCTTGATGGCTCCATCTGCAACCTCTTCTGCCATCACTTCTTTCAGTGCGTCCTGGAATGTCAGGGTCTCTTTAGCGAGCAGTCTCTGTTGTAAGTCCCTGCTTCTCAGGCCACACACTAGTCGGTCCCAGAGCCTGTCCTCTAGGTTGGGAAACTCGCAGAGCCGGGACACTTGGCATAGGGCAGCCATGAATTCAGCAATGGTTTCACCTGGCTGCTGCTCTCTCATCTCAAATGCATGTCTGTAGGCAATAATGGACAGACCTGATTCAAAGTGCTCCTTGAGTCTTCGTTTCAAATCAGCAAAGGTAACTGACTCCAATGAAGCAGGAGCAATGAAGTTCTTGGCTATATCAAAGGTGGCTTGCACAACAAGGTTGCAGCTTTTAAATTGTTTTCTCTTACTTGATTTGCTCTGAAATAGTTCTCTACTCATGAGATGTACAAACTCCACCGTTCAGGGTGCGTCACGTTGAACTCTGAAAGTTTGCCTACTTTGGCTATAGTTAGCTATTGCTGTGATTCCAATGCCTTATGCTGCTAGGGCTTCTGTGAGTTTTCTAGGGACAATAGGAAGGCGATACCTCCAGCGTTTGTGTACTGGCAGGCAGAAGGAGGGAACGCTGTTCTAATCAGAGCACTGATGCCTGGTCTTACCCCTTTAGTGACTTAGCTCTCTTCTTCCTAGCAGCCTAATCCCATCCTCATCACCACTGTTGTGTAGTGGGAACAGCGAGGCATTGAAGACACGGAGTAGAATAAACAACACTTTATTAGGTTCTCACAGAAGCAAGCTCTAGCAGCTGCCTGACTTATATTTATATGGACTGCCACTAGGCGGCGGCCAATCAGTTTAAAGTACTCATTCCTGCCTAAAACAACAGGCTTAAAGTTATACAGACAGACAGTCTATCATTCAAATAAAGCAATCAATTAACCGTTTCTTTATAACAGACTTTGAATTGCTTAATACAAAACACAATCCTTTTTACAGAACTCTTGTTGTGGGGAAAATAGAGGGAAGAGATATTAGGTATTTTCACCACCTTGAGTTATTTATAAAAATAATAAAGATGGGATAAAAATAAATACCCTGTTTAGAAAAACACATTTTTCCTAAAGCCAATTATGATCTTGCAAATGTGGCATAACCTAAACAAAAATAGTCTTTTATTAAACAGAACAAGCAATTTTATTATTGAAATGAGAAACATCTATCTCAGATTACAAAAGTTTAGCAAATAATTTCTTTCTAAATTTTCAGGAATTGACTTTATGTTGATCTTGTTCTCACTCATGTCAATAATTCCTGATTCCCAGGGAATTTTTTTTTCACCCTCCCACTATTGTGTGTGTGTGTGTGTGTGTGTGTGTGTGTGTGTGTGAGAGAGAGAGAGAGAGAGAGAGAGAGAGAGAGAGAATAAATAAGAGACTAAAACTTTTACGATTTTATTAGAATGGGATGAAATTTGAAAAAAATGGTAGAACATTAGAAGCATGCCAAACTTAATACTGGCTTTTGAGTAACACATCTTCTTGTTTTCCTCTATTAATAGAATACAAATAAATGTTTAATTGATCAAAACATAATTTCTTCTTGGTCATGTTTAGCTTTTAAAATGTAACCTCTAGAAATAGCAACTTTCAATAACTATGAAATATATGATTATCCCTAGTAAAGTTTATTTATAAACTTAATCCCATTCTGCTTAAAATAATTTTAAAATATACTTTCCTCTCTCCATATTAGATTATTAAAATTATATTCACTCATACATATGAAAAAACTAGCTTATTTATTCAGTGGACATGTTTAGATAATATATCTTATTAGTATACAGTATGCTACTATATATTAGGCCAAAATAACTGATTAATGGATTGAGTTGCTTGAGCCATGATAATCTGCATTTAAATTGTTGAATTTTCTTCAAAGTCAAAAACTACAGCACAAAATTTATAAAGTATGTAACCCAAGCAATATTTGGGTGCAAAGCTATTAAGCTGATTCGGTTAGCACCAACAAAGTACTTCAACATCTCTATTTCCAATAATAAAACTTGTGGGTTTTCCTCCCAAGATGTGAAGATGTAAAAATAGCAGTTTCATATAATCTATGCAACACAACCATCTGTGCTTTATGTGCTACTTTTCTATGTGCATAATTTAAAATTTTGAATCAATATTAAACTACTAGCTAATGCGAGCCTGTGGTTATTTAAAATACCTTCTCCTTAATAACCAATTTGGGGTTTAAGATCTTTTCTAGAGATCTTTTTCTTCTTCACGGGACCATGTTTAATGGCACTGCAAAAGGACATTTTGTTGATGGCTGATTCCTAGATAGGTGATCTCTATTTTCTGCCAAGAGGAGAAATATTTTATTCAGATAAGCTTTTGGCAAGCATGTTGACTTTGCTGACGAGTTTGGGTGGGTTGGTGCTGCTTTAGTCATTGTTTTTTAATGGTGTTTTAAAACTATTTTTAGTCATTTATTCTTTACTTCATTTATTTATTGTTAGCAACCAGAGTGCCATTCTTTGGCAGATAGAAATAGTAATCAGTCTTGGAAAGTACTTTTATCTTCAGTTGAACTTTGTCACTCTGTGTGGCTGTTAAGATTGTGCACTTACTTGCTTCATGCTTTCCAGGCACCATTTAAACAGAAAAGTCTATGTTTGCCTTCATCCATGAGAAAAGTCTATGTTTGTATCTTTCTTTGATTTCTGACAGAAAGGTAAGCAACCTTTGTACCCTCAATACTTTACATTCCTTCCTGAGGGCATTTGAGTTTCTCATTCCTTTACACTATACTGTATAAAGATCATAGTTTCCTCTTTATAGTTGTCCATGGGACTCATAAAATTATCTTGAGATTATCTTGCACACTGCTGGAGAGATTTAAGAAATAACTTGCCGGTGGGAAATATTTTTTTTAAAAAATGCAATCAAATAAAACATATGTTACCATCTTTTAAACATAATTGTAAGTAGTACAGTTATACTATTTTTAATTTAATAACCCAGTGCATTCTATTTAAATGACATTGATTAATTTGTACATTAATCTGTTTTATTTGTTTTTTGATTCAAGGCTTGAGCAAAATTCACCCAGCAACATTCCAACAATGTTTCAATACATCTAAAAACCATATCCTGTCCTGATTGGAATGTGAAAGTACTGATCTTCTATATTTAGACAACTCAATACACAAAAGAAAGGTACACTTCTCCTTGCCTCTTTTCACACGAATATATAGAATCCTGTTTCTGCATCCATTGTATCAAATCCATAGAAACAAAACAAACAAAGCTCAGGAAACATTAATAAAAGTAATTCTCAACTTATGACCATGACTGAGCCCCAAATTTCCTTTGTTAAGCAAGACACTTAAGTGAGTTTTGCCCCACTTTACGACCTTTCCTATCACAGTTGTTAAGTGAATCACTGCTATTAATGGTTATTAAGTGAATCTGGCTTCTTATTAACTTTGCTTGTCAAAAGATCACAAAAGGTTAGGATTAGTATTAGGGTCAGGAAATTTCTCCTAAGTTCTAGGTTGGTTCTCTTTTTAATGATCTTCCACCTGTTACTTCTTCTCCTGCCCTCTGTGCTTTGAAGAATAAATTAACCGATTGTTCTCTGTGACATCCCCTTAAGTACTAGAAAACTGCTATCATATCGCCCCTAGTCCTTCTCATTAGAATAGACATAGCTAGTTTCTTCAATCACTCATCATATGATTTAATCTCCAAATACTTTATCATCTTTGTTACTCTTCTCTGCATTCTTTCTAAGATCTCAACATGTTTTTTGTATTGTACTGACCAGAACCAGATGCAGTATTCACATGTTCTTGATGCTCTCCCTCTGCTGATGCAGCCCATAGCTGCATTGACTTTTTTGGCAGATGCAGTACACTGCTGGCTTGTATTTAAGTGTTGGTCTACTTTTCCCCCTGGACCTTCCATTGTCCATTGTTCACCAAGCAGTTGCATTTGCTTTATTTTGGAAACTGACTGTCTGCCTCAGATGTTCCCAGCTGATATCTTGGAGTTTGGGTCTGTCTCATGCTTCCAAGCAGTTCCGTCTGAAACCTCCCTTACATTCCAATGCCTTCCCTCCCCCCTCCTGTTACCATTGTCTGGTTGCGAGCACAGAGAGTCAACCATGACATACCGTAGATTGGTTTTTCTTGCCTGAAGGTAAAACTTTACTTTTATCTACATTAAATTTCATTTTGTTAGATAGGGCCCAGCATTCAGGTCTGTCAAGATCTTTTTGGATCTTGAGCTTGTCTTCTGATATGTTGGCTATTCCTGCCAGCTTAGTGTCGTCTGCAAATTTGATGAGTTCCCCTTCAGTTTCCTCGTCTACATTGTTTATGAAGATATTGAAGAGTATTGGGTCCCAAACAGAACCTTGGGGTACTCCACTGCTTATTTCCCTCCGTGTAGATAGTTCTGCATTACTGAATCCAGTAATTGTGAAATTATGATTTCAGAATGTGACCTTACCAAATAATAATCCAGAAGACTATGCAACAACTTTTGCTTGATACCAAGGTGTTTATTTATTACATGGGAGTATGGGACAGAACAAGAATGAAACAGGATTTCTGATTACAGAAGGGTTTGAACAGATCTATATGTTTAAACTTCACAAGTGGCTATGTATTTATCTAAATAAACTGTCAGTTGAAGGAAGAAAATTTTGTTGAGAGGCATAATCAACTAACACAGTAATAATCTTCTCATGGGAAACTATCTCGTTTATAAAATGGTTACTAAGATAGACATGACTTTTTACCAAAGTCTGTAGTTTTATATTTTATCGTCCTCTTGGCTTCAGTTCTTCAGATTTTCTGCATAAAAAAATCCATTCAGGCATCTCTGTGTGATCTATAATTGCAGCAGGCAGGCAGACATTACATTTTTCTTGTCATTTGGCCTAGAAGGCAGAAACTGGCTTCGTTAATAAACAAAATACAAAGACAGCTCCATTGTTGTAATGACTATAACTGAATTTGTAAGAAAGCACAAATTTGCACTATACCAGGCAGTGGAGGCCAGTGAACCTCCCATTATAGGGGACAATAACCAACCAGAGAAGACAAATTTAGCTACGGGGATGCGGAGAATCTACAAGCCCGCAACTGGTCGCTACCGTGCAAAACCGGAAGTCCATCACTGGAGGTTTTAAAGAAGAGACTGGATAGCTACTTGTCTGAAATTATATAGGGTTTCCTGCTTGAGTAGGAGGTTGGGCTAGAAGACCTCCAAGATCCCTTCCAGCTATATTCTGAATTGAAACTATTTGTTTTGCATACAGAAAGCCAGATTTAATCCTTGCTATCTTCAGGTAGGATTGCAAAAATATTTTCAGAAACTCCGCAAAACCACCATTAAACTATATGGATAAATAACCTAATTCCTATACTGAGTATACGCGGCTGATATGAAAAGAAATGGATAAGACGGATTGTACAAAGATGGGTAACCCAAGGACAAAGTATAATCCCCAATTTCCTTTTCTGTAGCTTCTGTGCTCCTCCAAAAATACAGTGCCAACATTGTAATTTCTTGCTGAAATCTGATTAAATACTAAAGAATATAGGGCCATTAAAGCCTACCAGATGAAAACTTCTGATCATCATCATCATCATTATTAACAACAACAACAATCATAATTTAAAAGTTTTCTCCCTTCTGCCAAAACCTCTCAAGATCGTTTTGAGAATACAAAGCAAATTCATCTTCAAACTGATCATTGGTGACTCATGCGGAAAGAGGCCTGTCAACATGGAAACATGGGAGT